ATCTAAACTATTTAATGCAAATTTTACAATTAAAAAAACATATGAGTAGTTAAAAACCAAACTTTGCATAATTGTAATTTTAAGTTAAAATATGAAACCAAACTTAAATTCAAAGAACGAAGTCTACATTGTTCGCTCATAACGTGTGATAGTGTATGGCCATTGGAATAATATAGGAAGTACAATTTATTACGGAGTACTCCGTATTTCTTTTCACTTTTTTCACCTAATGCATTTATTAAGATAAATAAATATTTGGTTATTTGAATTGTGACCCTAATATGATTGTTGTGTTGGCACCACAAAGTTGAATTGAAATTGAACACTGGCGGAGGAAGACAAACAACACCCCATTATTCATTCTTTTCACCCCTTCACTTTACTTTCTTTTCCCCTTTCACACTTCACTTTCCCCCCATTTGAATGCTCAAAATAGTGCCCTAATTTGTAAAAAAGATCACTTTTTTCTGTTCTCAAAGACACAATATAATGTCTATGAAATTATATCTATGATAACAAAAATGGGATAGAGTAAATCTTGGACAACATTTTGAAACACTTTTTTTCCCCTTCCCATTTTGCTCTCTCCCAATGGAAAAATAATGATGCAGGGTTTGTTTTTATTTAATGTGATTAATTATTCAAATTATACGTTTGATTTTCAAGATTATTACTCGTACTACTTTTCTCTTTAACCCACACAAAGTTCAGACTCAGACCTGTCTCATTACATCTCTGTCTAGTTTTTCTTCTCTCTATTTCTTTCTTGATTTTTCCTCACCCACCACATCTCACCACCAATTCATTTCTTTCTCATGTCATCTCAAAACCCCTCTTTCTCTCTGCTCTCCTCTCTTTAAGCGGTGAGTTTTATACCTTTTCTTGGGGGTCTTTGCGTACCCAATTGAACCAGTTTCTCATATTTATGTATGTTTGTATAGAGATAGAGGTGAGATTGAATGATGGGTATTATCAAGATTGAATCTTTTTAACTTTTTTCTTGATGTTTCAGGATTTGGTGCTAGAGACTTAGATCTGTGTTTTGCTTTGAAGATATTTTGCTGGTAAAGTCCTAGATTCTTTCAGCCTTCTCTATGTTTATCTATGTTCACACCATTACAGTTTTCTTTTTGTACTTTATGCCATTTTAGGATTATTCTCTTTTTTTGAGTTTATCCATTACAGGAGTCATTTTGAATTTACTTGGAACGGATCCAGGCTGATTTTTTATTGTTAAACTTGAACAAATTGACTTTATGTGATAGATTTTTGCAACTTGCAAGTGGTTCTATTTTCTTTTCATCTTCTTTATGACTGTGGTTTTGAGCTGATTGTGTGATGTCATGCTCCAGCCTCCTGACAGATTTTCTGTGTCCAGATATCAGATTTTTCCGGCTTGTGATGGTTCTGAATACCTGAAATTGTGGGTTAAATGAAAAAAGCATTGTTTAAATTTCTGGAGATCAAATTTGCATTTTCACTATATTTTGTTTTTTAACTGTGGTACTCTGCTACTCTGCGTATTCATCTCTTATCCCGTAGTATGTTTTTTTTTTAAAAAAAACAAAGTTCATTTTTTTGTTAATTCCTTTTCCTTCTAATGTAATGTTTCTTGGTGCTGCAATAAGTTCTTATGTTCTTTGATTCTTTAAATCCAAAACTCTGGATTAAGCATTTCAGGTCTACTCAAGGAAGAAAAGGGACCATATATTTTTCTCATAGTGTAATAATCTTTGGAATAACCCATCATAGCTCTAATGCAAGGAAAGAGAAGTGCAATCGGTTCTTTACCCGAAACGGTAGACTTCTCTCACGCCCCTTCTACCGGCGGTGATGCTTTAGGTCAGCCACTGTGTTGGAATGATCTGAGAAATTCTGCCCAAAACCCAATGCCGGATTTCATTGTAAACCCCAATGACTCATATATCAACCCTACTTCTAATCAAGAGAGGCAGAACATGATCTCCTGGAGTTTAGGAGAAAGCAGTTCATCATCACAACAATCATCTTTAATCAGTTCTTCCAATGTGCTTTCCATGAGTAACTTTGATGTGAATCTTAGTACCAATCCGAGTTCAAATTCTGGAATTAATGGCACTAACCCAGACGATGACGACGACTGTCAACTACTAGAGTTCATATCTACCTTTGAGCCCCAAATTCCACCCAATGGACGAATGCCACCTGTCAGCAGCTGTTCTTCAGGTCCTTTGCTGGAGCAGAACAACAGCAGGCGGTCAGCACGTTTGACCAGCGGTCAGCGGTTGTTGCGTAAGAGGAAAGCAGTCGAAGGTGATCCTGGTCAGTCTTCTGGGAGTGGAAGCTCTGGTAGTAGTTACTTTCAACCTCTTGAGAGTCATGTTTGGCAGCAACACAATGGTTCAAGCAGTTCCAGTGTCCCTTCTCCCTTGCCAAACAGTCATGGTGTTAACCTGGTTGATCAGATGAACCCTAGACTTGGACTGAGCATCGGGTTGAGGGAAACTTCTAGAAGGAATCTCCGTGTGAGGATGAACGTCGCAAACCAGTTGTCTTCTGCACCCCATAGCATGCCCCCACCATTTGAATACAGCCATGGGAGCGCCTCTGCTGCTGTTTCTGCATATATGAATGCAACTCGCCGCCGCGGGCAACCTTTGGTGGGTCCCACCCCCACCTCTAGGGGTGGCGAATCAGCTCACCCCGTGCTTACGCCAGGCGGGCCAAATTTCGGGGCCCACTTGGAAGAACAACCTACTTTGGCGCGAAACCGTGTTGTTCCCCAACTTCCCACACATCTGTCAGAATTCGTAAGAAGATCATTGCCGGCCCCACTTAGAGCCGATCCTTCCCACACCCCTCCTGTTGGCCAGAGCTTTCCGGAGGTTTCCAGGTCAGCAATGGTGTTGGAGAGACCGGTTGACGCTTCTTCATCAGTCCCTACTTCTTGGAGGGCTTTCGCTGCTGCTGGCGAGGGAAGAAGAAGCAGGCTTATCTCTGGGGTATATGCACTATTTTCTTTTTTTTCCCTTCATTTTTATATCCAAATATTCCAAACAAGCCCTCAAGTCTCCCAAGTTTTTACCCATTATGTCAATCTTTTTGCTGCTAAGCTAATTGTTATTTTTTTCTTTTGAACAGATTCACAATGTTTTAGAACTTATGCGCCGTGGGGAAGGCTTACGTGTTGAGGTTAGTTTTGCGCGCACCATTACCCTAACCGTACATTAGTATGATATTGTCTGCATTGAGCTAAACTCTCACGAGTTTGTTGTTTGACACCTCCCAAAAACCCTCATACTAAGATAGTTTTATGACGACTTACATTCGACATTTTTTATGTGGGACCCATAATGTGGGTGCAGGACATGATGCTTCTCGATCCGTCGGTCTTTTTCGGGATGGTCGGTGCTCAAGACCGGCACAGGGACATGCGTCTTGATGTCGACAACATGTCATATGAGGTGAGAGCTGGTGGAAAACCTTGTCGTCACTTAGTTTCGTTACGATTTGCGCATGGACTTACACATTTTGGGATTTCATGTATCTGAAGGAATTACTAGCACTGGAAGAACGCATCGGGAACGTATGTACTGGTTTGAGCGATGAAGTGATTATGAACAATTTGAAACGACGAAAATACCCTTGCACAGCATCGGAAGATCTCGTGGAAAGAGAACCGTGTTCTGTATGTCAGGTACTACTAGTGTATCCAAACAAGACTTTGAATTCTTTCTGGGACGGAGTTAGTATTATTAATTGATTGTGCTTACAAAAAAAAAAAATTGTACACCAGGAGGAATATAGTGGCGGAGACACCCTGGGAACACTGGATTGTGGCCACGAATATCACGCGGATTGCATCAAACAATGGCTGAAGCAAAAGAATCTCTGCCCAATTTGTAAAACCACCGGACTCTCTACCGCGGCAACTTGAGCGGTTCATACGAAGCCCCATCCATATTTGTGACCAAATGTTGCAGTTGTATCTCACTCACTTGAAGAGGAGAAAGAGGGAAAGAAATATTTGTACGTGTAATGTTTTTTTTTGTTCAATTTGTTTTTCATGAAATGTAGAAGAAGATAGGGGTATTATTATTATTATTATTATTATTAGTCATTCATTTAACCTTCAACTCACATTGTACGAGTAGTGTTGTGTAATCCTCCTTCAAACTTTCCATTTTCATTAGTATTTGAATGTTTATGCTTCTTTCTTACCTTCTGATATTCTTACCAATTTTCTAAGAATCTTTGCATTGATCTCTTCTTGAATTTGGGTCTTCCTTACTATACTTGATAAAAAAACCGGATGAGTAAATAAAAATGATTAGCTGATCCTAGAGCAAAGCAGTGTGGAGATGTTAAAGAGGTCGCGATTTCAAATACCATTGTATGTACAAAAGCTTTATCGAGAGACTCATCTATCAATGCCAGGTTTGTCACCCGAATTGACTTGATAAATATAAGCTCGCGCAATGGGTGGGAAACAAAAAAAAAAGAGGAAAGGAATAAAGAACTCGATCTAGTTATCGAGCGTCCCTTAAAATATTCTGTTCAAGATTAGAAGTGTTCATATCCCTCTATTCCTTCTTCAAAGGATTAGATGTTATGAATCACTTTCAAACCCAACGAAGCAGCGAAGTAGTTTCTAGTAGGTGTGACTGCATAAGAGAGGTAATAAGATTAAACAAAATTAGCCCGTATTAGTTTTGCACAAATCAATTTTGATTCTTTACCAAGTTTTATGATATAGGGTTCAAATCACAAAAGAATAGACCGAATTTATATTCAAAATAACGATTTTTCAGATAAAAAATATTCACGGAGAGAGTTATATTTAAATGACTTATACCTCACAAAAACTAACCACAAATTTATTTATTTTGAAAATATACTTCCTATGGTGGAAGTTAAAGACGGCAAAGAGGAAATTAACGGAAGGGTAGAGGGGCGGCAAACCAAATTACACAATTAAGGCGGGAGATTAAACTTCTAAACAGTGTTAAAACAGAGGGAAAGGATAACCGGAAAACGCAGCCTTTTTTTAAAGCTCTGTCGTCTCCATCAAGCGGAACCAATAAATAAATAAATACTCCTTATTGAAGTCCTGAATATTTTATATTTCCATTTCCCGATGATTATCACCAATGGCGGATCCATTCGGAACAAGCCATCGATCTCTCGAACCGGACGACGTGTCCTCGTTCCTCCACAATCTCATCCATGACGGGGGACTGTTCCACCGGACGGCGCCGGAAGTCGACGAATCGGTGCGCCGGAGGAACGCCGGGGCTTCCGATCGCTTGATCGAGTCATCTCCTCGCCTTAATTTCCCCGATCCATCTGAATTTTGCAGAACCCGAGCGAGAGAAGGTGCTGTCAACGCGTTCTCTCTGGCCGGAATTGAGGATTATGAAGCCGCCGGTTCTTCGAGGAGGACTGATTTTGAGCATCTGAACAAGGTGATCTGTTGCTTGGAGATGTTTCTATCACTCAATTGGAAACGATTTTGATGAATTTTGGTGATTTAGTTTCTCTGAGTATTCGATCTAAAGAAGAAAAAAAGCGAAATTTGCCTTGTATTTTTTCAGGATCGTGAAATCTCAGATGGGCCAAGTAATCCGGCTCAGCCGCGTTCCTCCAAGAGATGCAGATCAGCAGAGGTTCATAATTTGTCTGAAAAGGTTTGATTTTGCTTAAATTTCTGTTTTATTTTTGGATTCTTAAGCATGTGATATCTAAATTACAAATGATTAACCCCTTTGCGCAGAGGAGAAGGAGCCGGATTAATGAGAAACTGAAAGCGTTACAGACCTTGATTCCGAATTCTAACAAAGTACATATTTTCAGACTCAATTCTCCTTTTTTTTTATTAAATTAAATTTTCCCATCTCCAATTTCTCTTCGTTATCTTCTTCTTCTTCTTCGTCTTAGTTTTAGTTTTGTATGATAGACAGACAAGGCATCAATGCTTGATGAAGCTATTGAATATTTGAAGCAGCTTCAATTGCAAGTGCAGGTATTATTAGTACTGCTACTTTTTTTTTTGTATCATTCATTACTCATTACCACTGTTAGCATAGAAAGTGTTTGCTTACTATAATAGGGACTACATGTTTCGAAAAGTAAAGCTAAACAGGTTCGTGGGCGTCCATTCTTGGGCTTGAATATCAAAGTGATCCATTAACGGTTTGAGCCCTTACGAAATAGAAATGTGTTCATCAAACTTAGATGAACGTTTTGATATATTTTGCGTCAAAAATTGTGAACATGTGAATTAGAAATTAATACTCAAAGTAGATCTGTTGAGATAGAAATAACGAATCGAGTGAAATTACCAGTTAACATATTTTGACGATTTGATTTTTCAGGTGTTGACCATGCGAAATGGACCGAGCATGTATCCGGGTTATTTCCAGGGATCCCTACAATCAGTCCAGCTCCCCAACTCTGAGATTGAATTTGGCAAAGGAAATGGAGTTGCTTTTTCAGGAAACCAAGAAATGTTATTTCAGAGTAACTCTCATGTTTCTAACCACAATCCCACCACTCAGCACACTATGCATTCAACCAAGAACAACATGGCCAATCCAGAGAACCCCGGGCTTCTGCAAACAACAATTCACAACCCCTATGGACTTCTCAACCAATTGGCATCCACTAAGGTAATTAAAACTTGCAGTCGGTACATAATACGGAATATGTTCAGGTCATCCAACCTATAAGGTCTTGGACTGTTCCATGACTTCTATGCCATCAAGGCTCAAACCCTCGACCTCTATGTCAAGGAACCAACTCAAATGTATGGAGACTGATTTTTGCATATATTCTATACACTGCAGGATCTATGTAGGGACAATGCACTATCAAGATTGCATTTGGACACGAGTTGCTCTGGAAACAATTCGTCGTCGGGCATCTCTTCTTAATTAAACAGTCAGAAAATTCCTGGTTAGATTAAGCCAAACTGTTTGGGGGATCTCTTAGTAGTCTTTATTTATTTTGGTTTGACTCAGATCACCCGCAAGATCAGTCCGCGCTACTAAATCTATAGGAGCAACACCCGAACCCAAAGTATTAACACTATCAATAATGTTTCCATATGAATATGTTCGTTTGTATGGCAAACACTGTGGGCTAATGTTGTCGGGGGGTAGCATGTAAGGCATTTGAGTACTCCTTATGATGTAGTTGGATGTAACAGTTTGATCATGAAAAATGATTTGGACGATGAGATTTTTGCAAAAAGTGCATAATGTGATTGTAGTAATTCTTAGAACATTTTTTATGAGTGAACTTGTAAAAATAATACGGAGTGTCATAAGGTACTCCAATAAGGGGATAAAGTCACGCGTAGTTCAGATCCGAATTGGTGAATAAGAAAATACTACCTCCGTCCCAGAGTATTTGTCCACTTTCATTTTTACACATCATCCAATGCACTTCTTTAATCCATTTTATCTTGTAATTTGTATATTAAAAAATTATAGAAATTACGAGTATATATTAATAATCTATATGTTAAGACAAATCAAACAAGATCACACATGACTATATTTAGGCTTACACATTGAGAAAACTTGATGAGTTAAAGTACTTAAATGAACAGTTCCAAAAGTCAAAATTAGACGAATACTCCGGGACAGAGGGAGTAAATTTTTTTGAAGTGATACTTTCTTAAATTGTTATGACAAGTAGACAATTGTTAAATATGCCGTCTAAGTTTTTTTTTCCTTCAATTTTGATTAAAGACATGTTTATCCAACAAAAATTCTTAGGTGAAGATACAAGAATATAATTCGTGGAAGATAATTTTATTTATTTGAGCACTAAAAACTCTATTTTAATGTAATATTCATTGATACATACTTTATCAACTTATCTAACCAATAACTATAGACAATTACTTCCTCCGCTAGGGTTCAAACTTGTGACCTCTTAATTGGAAGAGTCACACTAATGTCACTGGACCACAAAGTCTTTGACATTTTGACACAAATATTAATGTATGCAAAAAAAATTTTGAACTAACATGTCGTATATTTGTTTTAAAAAAACTCATAGTTGAACCCGTGTCATCAGCGCACTTGAAAACCCAGACATGAAAACCAAATTCAAATTATAAGACATTCCCCTTTCTTCTTAAAGCTCTCATCACTGCTAACAACGTTAAATTTATGTACGGATCTTTACATACGAGTGACTAGAACTGTGAAATGGTGGGGGTTCCACCATTTCTTCAATCTCTTCTTATCATCTCAACAGATTATAAAAGGTTCAGTCCTCCTGCTCAGCCACTAAAATTGATCTAGTTCATCATCCTCCGGCTTCCGGGCATGAACCAGTACGGAGTAGCTTAAAATTGTTCCGCATGTCGGGTTTCCTGAGAGACGAGCTTTCCAAGAAGACGACTCTGTTCGGGTTGAGGGTATGGGTCGTGCTGGGAATCTATGCCGGAGCCGCAGTTTCTCTTCTTCTCTTCATCGTCTCCCTGTGGCTCATTTCCCGGCGCAATGTCAGAAGAAAGATTGCAGCTTTTCTGCCTCTCACTGCCCCACCCGTCGTTTCCAAGGAAATACTGGAGATTCGGGTCGACCCGCCTGAAAATCCGAAGCTCTCTCTGCGCGACCCGGATTCGGAGCCCGAACCTCTTGGGAAAGATAGCCAGAAACCAGGCGGCAATCGGAGGAATCACAGATGCTCGGAGCGGGTCGGTTCGTGTGGTGGGTCTAGCTACGGGTCGGGCGACCAGGCCGCTCCCGAGGTGTCACATCTGGGGTGGGGCCATTGGTACACTCTCAGAGAGCTCGAAGTGTCCACCAATGGGTTTTCCCATGAGAATGTGATAGGGGAAGGTGGCTATGGAATCGTCTACCATGGAGTTCTTGAAGATGAAACCATGGTTGCTGTCAAGAATTTGCTGAATAACAGGTGCCCATCTAATCAATCATGTTTTTATAGTCTAAAAATGACATTTTTTAATGTTATTTTGTGAATTAGAGTTTTCGTTTTTGTTGAACTGGTGTTATTATAGACAAATAAGTGACATTTAATGTGTTCTTGACTTACAAGATTGCAGTAACATGTAACAAAAGAAGGAAAAGAAACCGAGTTGAGTTGATTGCTCTTTATGTGATTTTCAACACAGGGGACAAGCGGAGAAGGAGTTCAAGGTTGAAGTGGAAGCAATCGGGCGAATCAGGCACAAGAATCTGGTGAGGTTGCTCGGTTACTGTGCAGAAGGCGTTCAAAGGTAGTGTCTGTAAACTGGAATATATAAATGCAGCAGATTTCTAAGAGACTCTTGAAGCTAGGTTTTTACTTGGGACTGGTTTGGTTGTCCAGGATGCTTGTGTATGAATATGTGGACAATGGGAACTTGGAGAAATGGCTTCATGGAGATGTAGGGCCCCACAGCCCTCTTACCTGGGAAATTCGAATGAATATTATTCTTGGAGTGGCAAAAGGGTATATGCTTATATATGTGATGTATACTTCTATTTGATTCATGATTTAACATCGGATTATGCTTCGGTCGTACCACGGATGACACCAACCTGGCTGGTGTCTCACAGACATTTGGTGTCATCCCTGGAGTTGAAGTATCATTTTCATTTGGCATTTGGCATTTGGCACTACTTAGAGCCAGAGGCTTTCGGTTTGCAGGTTGAGCTATCTGCATGATGGGCTTGAGCCGAAAGTGATTCATCGCGACATCAAATCAAGCAATATTTTACTCGATAAGCAATGGAACCCAAAGCTATCCGACTTTGGTTTGGCAAAACTCTTGTGTTCTGAGAAGAGCTACATCACCACTCGGGTCATGGGAACGTTTGGGTCAGTCATATGACAACTCATCAACTTCTCAGTTCAATATGTTAATTGGATTGCGAAAAAAATTATTTGAAATGCTTGAATAATAAACCTCTTGTTTGGATGCAGCTATGTTGCTCCAGAATATGCTAGCACGGGCATGTTAAACGAGCGGAGTGATGTTTATAGCTTTGGAATCCTTGTCATGGAGATGATTACAGGGAGAAGCACCATAGATTATAGTCGTCCTTCTGCAGAGGTTTGTCTTAATAAATTCTGCAAAATTTATGGTAGGAAATTTATGTCTGTCATAATTATAAGATTCTTAACTGTCTATATATACTTCTACAAGAATAGAAATATTATATACTTCTCAATTCTTATTTGTCAATGCTTAACAAGATCATGCCTCTCTTTTTCTTGGTTACTACATGAACACATATATGTGTATATACATACTAGGTGAACCTAGTTGAGTGGGTCAAAAGTATGGTTTCGAACCGCAATGTTGAGGGGATTTGGGACCCCAAGCTAGAAGAGAAACCGTCTTCAAGGGCATTGAAATGCATCCTTTTGGTTGCTCTACGGTGCGTCGACCCCAATGCTCAGAAGAGGCCAAAGATGGCCCACGTATTACACACGCTTGAAGCCGATGATTTTCCTCTCCGTGATGTAAGATTCTTTGCCCAAAACTCTGTATCTTCTATAATAGCCTCTCTATTTTCGAGTAGGGTAAAAAAATCTCATACACACACCCTCGTCAGACCCTACTTTTTATGGGATCCGACACCGGAAACACCTATTGCATGGCATCTTGATACTTAGGTTGTGTTTGGTTGTTGCCTCTTTTAATCAGACATATTTTAGATGAATGACTAGACCCTCCTCCCCCTTCAACTTTGGAAGCATAATTATTCTTCATACCAATCATGGAATGAGCAACTTTAATGAGTAGAGATGATTGGTTTACCTTTTAAGGAATAGGTCACATGGACCTTTAAGCAAAAGGTCATAAGATGTAGGGTTCTTTTCTTTCTTTTTTGTCTTCTTTTAAAGACGTGACTATAACATTCTAGTGTAATTTATTGAACTGAATTGACAAGTTATATGACAATGGATGACCTCGGGTGCCCGTTTCAGGACAAAAGATCAACCGGAAGAGATCACACGAGATCTCATCACGATTGCGATAGTCAAGAAGGGGCCATAGTTGGAAGAATCATCTGAATCAGATTACCACAAAGGACTATAAGTTATTTGTTTCAATCTAATAAATGAATGAAGCCTCTCAGTTTGGCTGTGGTTCCAATTCTCAGTTTTCATCTTTGTGATTTGCATGTTTAAATATCTTCACTTCATTCCCTTTCTGAAATGCATCAAAATTGTGTGATTCATACTGTATAATACTCCGTATATGCTAAATATATTTAATGTTTTAGAACTCGTTTTCAAAAAGGAAATAAAGCCAAGAACTATTACTTTAAAAAATTGGGAAGAGGAAAGTTATTCATTTATGATAAAAATAATGTCACATTATACTACAAGAAATTGGCGGTACACGGAGTACATATATACTTCGTATATTACAAATATGAACGAAATATCAACGTAATAGGTGCTGGTATGAATATCATATTTATAATAATAACTCTACTTGTAGCAACTCACACCCAACTTCAACCGGGCTGTATTTCCAACCATCAATGCCAATGGTGAGGCGGCACAACCCAGAGTTTGTAGGAAACTTCCAAATACCCGAGGCCACACACTTAGCCGCCCTGAATCATTCATACACCATTGCCATTTTCTGTAAATAAAAAGAGGAAAAGAAAACTTCACCCGGGCATAGTCACTCGTATGAACACGCGCTCTTGAGGGAAATGGGACGGTTGAGCTTGGCGGCATCAAGAACAATAGAGCACTCGATCTGTTTGTTGAACTTGGGCTTCACCAGTTTTCCCAATACGTAAGCTCTTGACTCGACCACAATGTTCAGCTTCAGTGGGACCGGCTGGGTTATTGTTCCCGTCGCGTTGGTGCTCAAACTTGCTCCACTCCCATACAGTGGAATCTTATTCCCTTCCACAGACACAGCTACTGTCCTCTGGCTCTTTCTTGGTTGATAGAATTTCTTCACCTGGTTCCAACCAAATTTCATACAATCAATTCTTGTTTTTATAAGGGAAGTGCTATTTCCATGGCTACTAAGAGTCTAAGAGCAGTTAGAAATATCATTATAATGCAGTTAATCTGTGTATGATGCATTAACAAATTAATCAAGAACATCAAGCCTATTCAGGATCCATTCATAAAGTTCATTCAAGAGATCCACTAACAATGTTCACACAAATGGATCTTTAATTCACCCATTCTCTTATTTCTTTATCATGCATAAAGATGACTGAACAAGGTCATATACATATAATAGCACAGTAGTTATCGATAAAACAACCATTCGTAAAAGTAGCAAAGAACAAATGGACTGCAAACCGTCCAAGGAAAACAAATGGACCGATTGAATCCTGTTCGTTAATATTACTCCTTACTGTTTTGTGTAAATGGATGAACTAGATAGCATTATATTCAAAGGAGTTGATGGATGTGGGCAAAAAGAAGCAGTCCGTTCTTACAACATTCGGGTTATCTTATCATTTTTCTTTAGTTCAGGAAAACTTTAGCTAATGAGCTACAACTACAAGCTTCGGGTTAACTCGCCTACTCTCTAGTTAATGATAGATTTTGCTATGATGACAGCAAATACTGCCTTTAATAGTTTTAGCCTTTTGTAATGATATCCCTCGAGTTCGAGTAATTTTATTCATAATTCAAAGCTGAAATGAAGTTAATTCATGGATAATAACCAAAGCTGAGGGGCTTACAGTTCCAGAACCAATTCTGATTTCTGAGTAGGAGAGATCAACTGGCGAGGAAGCAGCATGGACGCCGAAAAATGAAGCTGTGTTTCGGTACAGAAACTTCAGAGTTGAATTCATGGAGATCATGTCGGTGCTCACTCCCGTATGGTCCGAACCAGCTTGAATTACAAAGCTCTCGAAAGTGATGCTCTGTGAACAAGCAATTAAGAGAACAGTTAGAATTCCAGATCGGGAGGAATTGATGAAAGGAATACGAATCTGATTTCTCGATTAAGATCGATCGAGCTAACCTTCATGGCGATTTTAGGTTTTTGGGTCCTGCTGGCGCCCCAGAGAATTAGGGCGAACAGGGAGAATAGAACGAAGAAGCCGAGAACAAAGGCCAGGAAATAGTAGCAGCGGCGATGGGATCTGCGAGAGGCGTTCTCTTCGAGAAGCCCTTCCTCCTCGATCGCAGCGAACTCCTTCCACGTCTTCTGCCCCTTCCCGCCGGATCCGGCGTCGTTAGGGTTTACCTTCCTGGAACCGGGCTTGAGGGAGCCGGAGAAGCGGGTGGAGGAGGACTCCCGGGAATGGCGGCCGACGGAGGAGTGGGGAGGAGAGCCGGTGGGGCTGAGGACTGGGGTGGAGTGGAAGGACATGGTAGTCTTCTCCCCATCGTGAGAGTCGCGAGAGGGACTCTGCACGTAGTACACCGGCCGCCGGTTGTGGTCCGGCGACGACGGTGCCAAGCTGGTGACCTCCGAATCGGTTTTGGCGTGCATTTTACGCCGGTAACTCGGAGTTAATGAGAGAGCTTGCCGGAGAGAGAGAATAACGGATGGGGAGATTGGTTGGTTTATTTAAGTGGTTCTTCTACGGTGTTAATAGTATCGCACTAATTATTTTTAAGTCACCGACGGGAGCAAGGAATAAAGGAAATACGGTGGTTGTTCTGTCAGACAGCTAACTTCTAGTTGGCTAAACTCCCCTTCTGCACGCGCCCTTCTTGATCCTTCTTGATTTGATCTATTATCCGATCTAATCTGATTTTTTGAAGATTGATTTTGTATTATTCTTTCCTACACAATAAATATCTAATGGATTCATTAAGGGAGTTAACAATATTTTGTTGATGATCTGACAGTAGCTAGTTAAGCTAATGAGAAATCTATTGTATGCATCATATGAGAGTTTTTGGACAAATCCAAACAATCCACTTGAATGAGCATTAATAATTTTAAGTACTCCGTATCATATTGTGTTTGGTGGAGTCCGTCAGCAAAAACAAAAGAAATTGCTTGCAATAACCAAGATTAAGTTATGAAACTTACCTTTACTTAACTCAAAAGCTTTATTACCACTACCACACTCAAGTCAAGTGATTGTTATACCCTAATAACTAAAATCATTACTAGGATTATAACCTAGGGCATAAGACATTTTTCAAACATTGCTAAAGTCAGAATTATAAACTCTGTTCTGATGGGAATCATATCCTTTTTGCCAAAAAATTCATTCTGCCCAAATTGATTATGAAGAAAGTAATGGCTATTTGTAGGAATTTTGTTTGGGGAAGCTCTCATAATTACCAAAAAGTGCTTATAGTTAAATGGGAGGAAGATTGCCAAGCAAAGAAATGTGGAGGGCTAGGCATTAAAAATGCATACAAGTATACAACTAGAACAAAGCAATCATAATGTAGCTGAATTGGGACATTGCAGATAAAAAAGACTTTGTGGGTGAGTGGGATGCCTAGTAAGTACATCAAAGAAGCAAACTTCTGGGAGTTTATACCAAAACTAAACTCTTGTTATTATTGGAAGAAGGTGATAAGAGTTAGAGAAAAGTTCACAACAATATCTACTGACAAGAAATATAGTGTGAGGGATGGGTACAAATGGCTGCATGGAGATGGTACCAAACGAGTTTGGCACGAATGTGTTTGGAACAAACTCACCCCCTAAAATTTCAATATATTACTTGGTTGCTTATGAGAGGGAGATTCTAAACCAAAACTAGACTAAAAAAATACCTCCCCATAAGTACTGCATTTCTTTATGTGATAGAGGTGAATAAACTGACCACCATTTATTTTGGGAGTGTACTTTTGAGCAAGAGCTATACAAATTCAGTTTTGGAAAATTTGATATTCATCTCCAATTAACTAAACAAGAGGAATTAGAAGATGTATTGCAGAAGACTAAGGAGTGGAATAGGAAGGCTTAGTATTAGCCATTTGGGCAGTGGCTGTCTATAGCATTTGGAGGGTAAGAAATAAAGTAGTTTACCAAAAAAATATGGTTTAACTCGAATATCTTATAGTCCGATCCAGTAATTCATACTCCATCATAAATAGTATCACATAGTTTTGGAATATTATATTTTTTAACATATATCTATCTATAAATAAAGATACTTAGTCAAGATGTTACACAGAAAACCATGAAAAATCAAATAAAAAACTCTTAAGAGGACGGAGGGATTACATCTCATTTTTTAGCCTATCTTTACAAAAAACAATCATGCTATGGGTACACCAAAAAGTGTACCCCAAGTTATACCCTAAAAAATGCACTGACATTTTAACGGTTCACACTGGTACAAAATGTTAGTTCACTTGAAGAAATTTGCACTGACATTTTTTGTTAATGTAAACCAGCACACTAACATCACATTATCACCAAATGTCGGCGCATACCTTTAGGTAACAAGTTTTGGTGTACAAATAGCTTAATTCTTACAAAAATAACCATGCTAGGGATACACCAAAAAGTGTACTCCAAAGAAATGTTCTGACATTTTAACGGTTCATATTGATACAAAATATTAGTTTACTAAACTAATTCACACTAACATTTTTTGTTAATATAAACCAGCACACTTACATCACTCTAACATAAAAAGATATATTTTCTATTTATAAAAAAGACGCGTGCTTCATACTACCTCCGTCCCGCTATATTCGTGCACTTTTGACTTTTGGAACTGTTCATCTAAGCACTTTGACTCATCAAATTTTCTAAATATCTAAGCCTAAATATAGTCATGTGTGATCTTGTTTGATTTGTCTTAACATATAGATTATTAATATATAATTTTTATAATTTTTTAATATACAAATTACAAGATAAAATAGATTAAAGAAGTGCATTGGATGGTGTGCAAAAATGAAAGTGGACAAATATAATGGGACGGAGGGAGTATGATTTTTGTCTTCTCAAATTAAAAAATACTTTAATTTAAATTAGATTAAAGTCAAACTATTATTTAATCAACAATAATTTGTCATGAGATAGTTATTTTTTCTTTGTTTTCATGATTTAAGATATTCTACAATAACTTCATATAATAAAAAAATATACACAACACATGGTTACACATATTTTTATGTGTCTACACCTTTATTTTGTATATAAAAATGTCTTATACTTTGAAATATCAATAGAAAAACAAAATATAAACATAAAAAACTTAGGAAAAACTATATATAACGGATCGGATATCGGATAAGCGGTTATTTAAACGGATGCATATTCGGATCGGATTTTAAACGGATCGGATATACATTTACCAAATCCGTATCCGTTTAGTAATCGGATATCCTTAATCAGATATGGATAATATCCATTTAAAACGGATGCGGATATTTTCTCTTTAAACGGATACGGATGCGAACGGTAATCGGATTTTCGGTTATCCGTTTACAGCCCTAGTTGCGCTTTTACCCAAAAAGTATTGGGCCAACATAAATGGTTATTGATGGATTGATATCGAGCCCAATCCAATACCCCCTCGCCAAAATTAGAATTCGAAAAACTTCGGAGGACGATGGTGCAAAATAGAAGAGGAATCTTCATCCTCCTCTCCCACGGCGGCACGGCCAGAATATCGATCGCCGCGTCCTTAGTTTTCCTCTCTCTACCTTCCTCGATCGGCGATGGCGTTTCTACAGCAGCAGCAGCAGCATTTCCACCCTCCAGATCCACAATCCAGGGCTTTCAGGTGATTTCTATTCCATTTTCGTTTCATTTTCTCAAAACCCTAGCTTTACTGTAATTTCTGAATGACATTTTCGATTTCTCTTCCGTTTTCTTGCTTGATTTTTCATCTTTCAGAGATTTTTATATCCTGGACGGTCAGATTTCCCAGCCTGCGGCGTACTTTAACGGCTCCAATCTTCCCGATCAGTCTCAGCATCCTCCTTATGTTCCTCCTTGTACGGTTCATAAGATATCGATTCATCTCATTTTTCCAATTCTCCTTCTCAATTTTGATTTGATTGTTTAAACTTTGGAGGTTCCATTTCTTGATTTGGGTCACAGTTCAAGTGGCTGGGTTGATGCCTGGTACGGTGGAGGAAAGTGGGCTCGATTTGCAGTGGAATTATGGGCTGGAACCGAACAAAAAGAGGCCTAAGGAGCAAGATTTTCTGGAGAACAATTCTCAGATATCATCTATAGACTTCTTGCGGCCTCGATCGGTGTCTACTGGGCTTGGCTTGTCCCTTGACAACGGGAGAAAGGACTGTTCCTTTCTGGGACTTTCTGGAGACGACATTGAACGCGAGCTGCAGAGACAAGATGCTGAGATTGATAGGTTCATCAAAGTTCAGGTCCGTTTCTATTCGATTGACATTGAATGATTTCTGGCTTTCTTGTGTGGATTATGATTGGTTTTCTCTTGGTTCATTATGAGCACATTGAGTCTTTTTCTCTTATTTATACTTTGCTTTTATAATATCTACTAATTTGAAATCATGTGACTTCATAAGGGAGATTGCAGAAAAATTTTCTTTGCTTTAACAGACATAGCTCATGGTCATAATATTGCTTTATCTACTACTTCGTACTATAGTTGTCCATTCATCTTCTCTGCACTTTGATGATATTTAATGCTTCCTCTGTCCCGTAAAACTTTTCAACGTTCTTATCTTACATGTCTCGTAAAACACTTCAATTTGGCCTAATTGGACACAATAGCCCTTTCTTTTCTTAAATCTAACCAAACCTACCCCAACTACCTTCTACGTTCTAACCATTTTGACATTTTCCGAGCCTTACTCGTTTCAATTTTCATCGTTTAACCTTGGTCAAACTTCTATAGTTTTCCCTCTCAAAAGTCAAAACAAGAAATGTCTTGTGGGACGGAGGAAGTACTCAAATTAATAGGGATTCTATTGACATCGTGCATAAAACAAGACATGATTATGCTTTGCATGCTTAGTGTTTCACAATTTTGTTTGCTGTGTTCTGAAAGGGTGATCAGCTGAGGCAAGCTATTCTAGAGAAGGCTCAGGCGAGCCAACTGTATACCGTATCCTACATTGAAGAGAAGGTGATTCAGAAGCTGCGTGAAAAAGAGGCCGAGATTGAAAACATAAACAAGAAAAACATGGAGCTTGAGATGCAAATGGAACAGCTAGCTCTGGAGGCAAATGCTTGGCAGCAGAGAGCCAGATACAATGAAAACCTGATCAACACACTCAAATACAACTTACAGCAAGTTTATGCTCAACAGAGCAGAGACAGTAAAGAGGGGTGCGGCGACAGCGAGGTGGATGACACCGCATCTTGCTGCAATGCTCGCGCAATCGATTTTCACCTGATCAAAAGGGACTGCAATGACAACGCGAAGAAGCAGATGATGGCTTGTAAGGTTTGTGGGGCCAACCCGGTGTGCATGCTACTGCTGCCATGTAAGCATCTCTGCCTCTGTAAAGAATGTGAGAGTAAGAACAGTGTTTGCCCTCTGTGTCAGTCCACTAAGTATATTGGGATTGAGGTTAATATGTAACTGGACAATGAGAATGTGATTTAATGTGTAATGTATATGTCCACTGCCCTTGTTGTTTGCCCTTGCAGTACCACTTTTTATTGTAATTGAGCTACCCAAAGTTGCAATACTTTTCTTATTGACTACTAAAACTTCAATCTTGTTGGATAGAACACTTGGCATTGTGTGTTATTATGTTTGCATTCATAGTTGTCTGGTTTTAGTCTTATTCCTTGTTTGGTTGGATGGCTTTTGATGCGAGGGGCGGATTTAGGACCATTTTATGGGGGATGGGCCCCCAGTGAAATCCTATAACAATTGTTTTTTTGATGGACTGATTAACAAGGCGCCCAGTCCAAAAATAGTTGGGCCTTTCTGACCCTTTTGGGTAACTACCCAAGCCCAATTGTTAATTGGCTTAATTGGCTTCCTCCGCCAGGTAAGTTTAAATTTTATACGGAGTAAATTTATTTGCGTACTCCATAATTTGTCCTAATGGCTAATTGAAACATTTAAAATATGATACTCCGTAGTTAAACTTGATAAATTGTCAATGTAACATTTTTGCTTTTTAAATAAAAACAATGACAAATAGTTCAATGGTTTTTTTATTTTTAGAGAATGAAGAAATTTTTATGCCGAAAAGTTCCGTCAATAATCAATTTTGGACCATTCATGCTGTTATTTCCTAGGGAAATTGATTTGAGTAATCTTCTATAATATGATGATCTTTCAGAAAGAAAATAAAATTGATTTTCTTGTCTTTTTACACCATCTAAAAAATGAGGGGTGCAGCCCTGGGCCCCCCCATATTGTTCATACCTATATTCACTAAAACTTGCTCCCAGTAAGTTATTTTCTCGGATTGGTGAGAAGGTTAGTATGGCTTAGTTTGGAAGTTGGGTGTTGGCAGTTCATTGTTTGTGTCGATTGTTTTGAATGAATGATTAATTTAGTATTTTTAACTGGTAGACTGTGTTAATTGAAGATGATGGTGGGGTGGGTTCACGTCAAGCCAGGGTAGGGAGTTTTCTGGAGAGTTAGGGAAGATAGAAATTATAAATTTTATGAACGGGGTATCGCGTGTTCTCCAAAAATGGAGTGACACCAAAGTATTTTTTGAGACCAGTGCCGACGGAACCTGTCTTTTGTTAAAAAATACGGAGTATTTGATACCCTAGTACATGAATTGTTTCAAATAGTTGTATGTTTGCAGTTAAATTCTCATACTCCTTGGTATAATATAATGTCTTCTTTATCAAAATAGATTGCCACTTCTTTATAGCAATTGATGGACATCTGGAAACCCCTCTTTTAGACAAATAAAAAAAATGCAAAACAAATTCTCTAAAGCAAACCACAAACCTTATCAAACAACCACACAATATGAGGTCTTACCAAACAAATTAAAAGAAAGTTTTCCAAACATTATACTTGGTTGACTGACTAATCACAACAACTATTATATAGTCAAACAAGCCCGCTAAAAAATAAAAAACCACCAGAAAAACTTTTTTCCAAACAAAACTTTATATATATATACACACACACACACTATACACATATATACACATATACATACACATACATACATTTTAATTACCACAAAAAAATTAACGCATCATAAAAAATATGCTGTCTGTCGAAAATTTAAAATGTAATACTCCGTTCGTCCCAAAAAATATTGTTCCTCTTCCAAGAAGGTGCAACCAACCCCATAAAGAGGTCATATATAGTCCAAGCATTTCAACTACCATTTGAACTAACTTAATCATTATGGAGTAGGGGAGCCACACTTAGCTTTATAATATGTATGTGTGGAAATCTGATTGTGCAAAACCTGATTGATTTACACTCAGAACCATAAAGTGTGATTCAGGATTTGCCCTCACTATTTGTGTGCATCTCCTACCAAAATTCTTTCTTTCTTTCTTTCTTTAGATTCTCTTCTCATCTTTGAGGTTATCTGAGAAATACACATGTGATCGCCTCTTCGAGACCCTCACACTGCACAACGCCTCAAATTTTGTGGGGCCGAGTAATTTTAGTTGTGATGACTATTTAACATTTGTTGAAACTCGTTCTTTGAACTTATAAATATATTTTTTAATATTCAAAGCTTTGCAATATTGATCATAAAAATCAAATTTAGCAGTATTTTTAAAAATCAAAAGTGCTCTATAAAATAAATTATGTTTTCGCACAGCTTTCTGATTGCCCTTCATCGATTAGAGTCTAAATCGAGCATTAATTAACTACTTTTACATCTCTTCTTTGTCATCTAAGATACACTCCGAATGTCTTTTTCTCAGGGGAGGGTACGATTCTTGTGTGAGGAGAGATAGTGATGAGAACTTTTTCCAAAGTGAATTTCATGAGGAAATAATGTTCTTTGATCTAAGTGCAGAAAAAGGGTTTGTGGTTATGGATATCACCATCACCAAAAGCCATCATTACCTATTGTTCCAACTTCAAAGGTGTGATTGATTGGAAAACTTTCCTGCAAGAAGTTTCATTTTGTCATAAAGGAAGAATTTTGCCCTTATCCTCATCATCATCATCATCACCATTTACTACTATTTCCTTCTAGCCCTTCTTTTTTATCTTTAAAAGACCTTTAATCTGCTTTTTTATCCCTCTTTTTTTCCCATGGAAAAAAGAAAAGGTTTGCAGGTAAGGGTTAAAGAAGATTCACTACCTAATTCAGCCACAGCTTTACTGTATAGTATTAGGATCCTTGCAAGCATGTAACAAGTGGTGCTCACTTTGACACTTTAGTGAAAGAAACAAAGTGGAAGAAGTATCATGCTTCTTTGATGAACCGCCCTGTTTACTTTCCCTTTTTTATAAAGGAAAAAAGGATGAGCCTTCTCAACTTCACATCCGGCTAGGCGATGAGGTAAATTAGATTTTGATTGCAGACTCATGACAAAAAGTTGAACATGTATAGCTTTACCTGAGGCTCTCAACGGATCTACCCCTTGACACTTATTGTCTTTCTTTTTTCAGCTTTGTTTGGGAACATTAATTTTGTTAGTGTTGACATTTCGGATAAAATCTTAATGGTGTTAATTCTGAAAACGCTCACACTAAAGGCCACCATCCGATAATTTTTTTAAAGCGATAATGTTAACCTCTAATACTGATATCAAACGGGGCATTAATAATTAGTAAGGTGAATCACTGTTGGAGTATATAACAATCATTCCTGGGCCACAACCACAAGCTTGAGCTTCTGGTTGAGTTGGTTCCTTGACATGGTATCAGAGCCTTGATGACCAAGAGGTCACGAGTTCGAAACTCACCGCCACTCAAATTTAAAAAAAAATTAAGCTTTCACGTGCAAGGCTCAAAGAGGTCACGCCTCTTATGGTTGAGTTGGTTCCTTGACAATCACTGCTTGGAAAGGAAGAGAATGATTAAAATAAATAAGTTCAACTCAATCTATTGGTTTGGAAACGGGATATAGTTATTGGGTTGTATAATATTCCATCTTGTCAAACTTTTTCTATTTTGATTTTTTGGTCAAACAGTGACACTTTTTTACCATAAATTAAACATAATCTAAACAAATAAATAATCTAAAAATTTGATATATCAAAACTATATCTTAAGATGAACCCAATTATATTGAATTTTTATTATAATTAAATATATTGTTTTCACAATTTAAGGTCAAAAAGTGGTTCTGACAAAAAAAATCAAAACAGGAAAGATGTTTAGGAGTATGAGATTTTGCTAAAAGCATGCCTTAATGATCGATATGTTTTTGAAGAAAATGAGTTCTCAATGATCGAAAACTTGCCTTCACCATCATTTTAATATGGAGTAAAAAAATGAACTAAATAAAGGATTATCATAACATTATTATGCAAAATGTTGAAGACGCCCGTTGATTTTTAAGAGGAATTTTCTTAAAAAGTACTAAAACTTAGTGACTTTTTCAATGTAGTATCATATGTTTTTTATTTTTTTATTTCTCAATATAGTATTACTATTCAATATTAACTAATTATTGTTCAAGTAAATGTTCACTGCCACTAGTACCACTATTCAATGTTTACTAGTCATTTTTTGAGTCTTAGTTAATTCACCTAAAAAATTCAATTATTATATTCCTTAGCCATTGTTTCAATTCATTTATTTAAAAATTGATGTAAAATTATAGAAAAAAGTACATTTCTGAAAGTTTCATAAAAAAACTTCACAAGTATAGATGCCATGATTATGTCATTTTATCAATTAACTTGTGAAAATATTTAAATAGAAAATTTACTTAGGTCCTACAATAGCAAATTTGTTATGGGGGGCTTGATGAAATCGTGTTAAACGGGTCACATGCCGTTTGGCACATACTCCATACGGACAACTGGGCTAAAGACAAACGGGTTGATAGGAATGAACGTCTAGACGGACACCTTGACAAATGAGGTGGGCCAAAACCTGCTCTGATACCAAGATAGAATTTAGGATTGGGTAGAATTTAGGATTGGATTCCAAGAGTAAAATAATTGGCATATACGTTCTTGACTTGAACTAACTAATCGATTGCTCGAAAAAGACTATAGGCTCTGTTCCGTTCAACTTATTTTTCTGATCTGATCTGATTTTTTGTAGTTCTGATCTAATCTGATCTGATCTGATCTGGTCTGGTCTGATCTGATTGGATCTGATCTGATCTGATTGGATCTCATCTGATCTCATCGGATTGGATCGGATCTGATTAATTATGATTTGATTTAAAATTCAAATCAATAATTCGATTTGAATTTATAATAACGTTTGAAAATTGTAATGATAATTCATATTATAATATAATTAATATTTTTTATTTTATAATTATTTTTTAATAAAATAAAATTAGTTAATTTATATATTAGAATAATCATTCATATTTTAATGTAATAATATTTTTTATTTTATGATTATTGTTTGTGAAATGAGAATATTGATTTAATATTTTAATAATTAGTTCATACATACATTAGAATAAATATTTAATTTATATATAATCAATATAGGGAAGAGATTGTATTTTTATTAAAATATCTCATCCTTATAAAAGATCAAAACTTTAGAAAGTCAAATTACAGGTAGCAATAAAAATATATTTTAAAAGTAGAATTAGATTGACATTGTCAATGTATTTTAAAAATAATTTTTTTGACGTCTAACAATTAAGGATTAATTTCTCAGTTTTCTATTTAACTTGTTTCTAAAGTTTATTCTTTTTCATTTTTAAGAATAATAATAATAATAATAATAATAATAATAATAATAATAATAATAATAATAATAATAATAATAATAATAATAATAATAATAATAACAACAACAACAACAACAATAATAATAATAATAATAAGAACAACAACAACAACAATAATAATAATTCTTTACGAGATCTGATCTGGTGTGGTCTGATCTAATTTGATTGCATCTGATTTGATCTGATCTCATCTGATCTTATCTGATTGGATCTGATCTGATTTGATTTGTTCTGATCTGATCTGATTCGATCTGATCTGATCTGATCTGATTTTAATAAGAATAAGAAAAAATAAGAAAAAATAAGTTGAACGGAACAGGGCCTATGTCTGCACGTGAGGGGGCGTGTTAGAATATAAATAACCTTTCTTGAGCCACAATCACAGGCTTGAGCTTTTCGTTGAATAAGTTCTTTGACATGATATCAAAGCCTTGTTGACTAATAAGAGGTCACAGGTTTGAAGCTCAGGCGCCACCCGATTTAAAAAATTAAAGTTTCATGTGCAATGCTAGAAAAAGACTATGTCTGCACGTAAGGGGGCGTGTTAGAATATAAATAACCTTTTCTGAGCCACAATCACAAGCTTGGGCTTTTGGTTAAATTAGTTCTTTGACATGTTGGCGGGTATTTTATTATGTTGGGTACTTCTCATGTGTCGTGGAAAACGAAAAAGCAGACCATTGTTGCTAGATCATTTGTAGAGGCCGAGTACAGGGTCATGGCTAATGCTTGTGTCAATGTGAGGTGGATGTGTGGTATTCTTGGAGCTTTAGGGGTTCCTATTGTATATCCTCCACGGTTATATTGCGACAACCAGTCTGCATTATACATTGCTGCTAATCCAATGTTTCATGAACGTATGAAACATGTTGATGTTGATTGTCATACGGTTCGTGAGAGTGTTCAACGATACGAGGTGTCCACGAGATATGTTCCCACTCAGTATCAATTAGCGGATATTTTTACAAAGCCATTAACAAAACCTGTTTTTGATTTTTTATTATGCAAGTTGGGCATTCGAGATTTTCATGCACCAACTTGAGGATGAGTGTTAGCAGTTATTTATATTAATGACGTAGATTAGTAATTTGGGCCCACTACTTAAGCCCGCTTGTATGTTTGTATATATACCGTGGTGATTAATGAGAAAGACAGATCACTTTTCGCTAAAATTCTATATATATTTAAAATAAATCCAAAAGGGAAATATGGGTGAACCAAATTTACTTTACTTCACCAAATGGCAATGGCATGTGCATCCCTTGTTGTAAAAGAAGGTAAATTCGTTTCCTATCCCCGCAACCAAATGCATGCCATCATCACACCCATAGTGAAAAGTACGACCGACTTATTAACTAACATTCCTTATTCCGGAATATACGTACAGTACAGTACAAGAAAGTTAAAGTAAAACCCAATAAAAATAAGAGGTGATAATGCTCCTAATATTTACATGTGAACTTTCTTTGATACTCCCTCCATTTCAAAAAGAATGTTACGTTTCATTTTTTGCACATCCCTTAAAACACTTTTATATCGTCTCAAATGTCAAAAAAAACTTTCAAAACAATTTCATCTTATAATAAAGAGTAAATATGGTAAATTTTAGAATTTTTAGGTGTGAGTAGCACTGCTTTTTGTGATTCGCAAAAAAATAAAATGTAACATTCTTTTTGGGACGGAAGGAGTATTTTGTATTGACTCATAGTTGGATCTAATTCTTTTTCTAAGAGGCGGTTCATATACTAAATCTTTCCCGGTATATTTATCTAATTTGACTTTTTCAAATCAAATTGAAAAAACTTTGAATTTCAATTGCTTTCCACTTATATTGCATATTAGTATAAAAAAATACAATTTTAAAAATTTCCAATACAATAAATTTGTAAAAGTCATTTTTATGTTAAAATATATTACACTTTTTATTTAATTGAATCTCAAAGTTTATCATGTTTGACTTGAAAGAGTCTAACTAGCCAAATTCACTGGGACATATAGAGTATATATGAATATTTCATGTATTAGGATTCATAAAATAAGTACGAACATACGGACCACAAAAAAACTACATGAAAATAGTACCCCCTACTCACTTTTACTATTACAATCAACTGTTGTTTGCTTCTTCATTTTTTAAGAAACGGGCAAATTTCTGAGTTGAACGAACCACCTAGTCAAAGATCATCTCGTTAGAGGGCATGCAGCCCAATCACAATCACACCAACCTATAAGTTGGAGATTATTATTTGCAAAGAGGATAAAACCCCGTCCTGGGTACCCCTTTAAGTACCGAACAACACCAAGGGCAGCAGTCCACTGATCCTCTCTGGGTTCCTTCAAAAATGGTGTTAAAGTTTGTACAGCATAAGAGAGCTCTGGTCGAGCTAGTGAGAGATAGATAAACAAGATGCCCCGCCATACATCGATAAAGTTCGGAATTTGCAATTACAAGAGCTTGGGACCGATCCAAATGGTGATTTGGTCCATCGGTGTGTCCAACGGTCTTGCACCTAGCAAACTAGCCTTAGTGATAATGTCTAAGGCATACTTCCGTTGGCAAAGAAAAATCATAGATGTTCTTCGAGCCACTTCAATGCCAAGGAAAAACTTCAAAGTCCCCAAGTCCTTCAAAAGAAAGTAATCAACCAAGTAGAATTTGAATTTGACTGTCATATTTGTATTATCTCCAACAATGATCAAATCATCAACTTAGCAACCCAACATCGTGGTGCTTGTTTCAATCCATACAAGGATTTCTTGAGCCTGCACATCATATTAGAAGATTTCGAGAAACTTGGTGGCAAGCACATATAAACATCCTGAAGATCTCCATGCAAAAATGCATTGTGAAAACCCATTTGATATAACTCTCATCCCTTAGCAGCTGCAACAGCTAAAAGTGTTTGCACAGTAGTTAACTTGACCACTGAGGCAAATGTCTCATTAATGAAGTCCTTCTACCTGATGATTGTCAAGTATGACCAGCCTGACCTTATATCGTTTCACACTTCCATCAAATTTTCGCTTAATTTTATACACCCATGTGCAACCAAAGGGCTTTTTATGGCGAGGTGGAGGATCGATCTCCTCCCGCATAGCTTTTCTTCATTGCTCAACTTGGAACATCTTGAAATTTTTAGGCCCAACTTCTGTATCAAGTATTGTGAGAAAAACACTTGTGTTTGTTGGAGAATCTCTCATAGGCAATATACAACAAGAGTGCATACTTGTAATGTCTTTCAACAAATGCACAAGCAACTTGCGTAACATGAAAATTTCAGTTTAAGAAGATACGTGTGTATTCATTTTCTTTTATATCAAAATGGATCCTAAACTATCTCAAATACTCTCTCCGTCCTAAAATTAACTTCTCATTTGACTTTTCACGGTCTCCAATGCGACACTTTGACCATCAATATCTCAATTTTTATATAAATATATTTTATAAAAATTATATATTTCAAAACTATATTCCAAAATTAATCTATTCCTAATAAATTTATATGAAAATTCAATGTATTTTTTCTTTAATCTATGGTCAAAGTTTAAAAAGCTTGACTACAAAAGTCAAACTGAGAAATTAATTTTAAGACGGAGGGAGTAATATAGTGAACTAATATTTCAAAATTGGGATTGGTATTATGCAAAATGGTAGAGTAATAGATAGGGGAATGAGTAGAAATAGTTACCGCATAGAAGGTAGAAGCTAAGGGGCTAATTTAAGACCAAATTAACCTAGACATTCTCCCTGTCCTCAAGCAATCGACAAATATTCTTCAATCAAGATTCACTTAATAAAGAATACTAATTATAATAATAATAAAATGGATTAGTAATAATCTATCCACTGAATGAACAGTTGAGCCATATTAATTTAATTAAACACACACAAGTCCTGCCCGGTGTCACGGGTTTGTAATAGAAAGTCCATTTTATTCCCAAAGTCCCAAGACAAAGAGACACATATTCTCTCTTTCTTCCTAAATCAAACAGACAAATATACCCTCCCCCACACACCTCTCCCATTATTCTTTTCTTCTTCTCTTTTCTTTTCTTTTCTCTTTTTTTTTAAATCCCTTTATTCTTCCTTTCCTAAAAGTACTTATGATCTGCTTTTTTTTTTCATTTCCACCTTTTCTTTTCCACTAATGAATCCTTTGACGATATTCTCCCAAGAACCATCTTCCATTTTTCCATTTATAATTATTATTATAATAATATTCATATATAAATTAAAATTCTCCCACAGTCCAACGGTCTAACCCATATATATACACACACTCACATTACACATATTACTACATTGTTACGTCCAGAGAGTTCTTAGAGATACATATATAAACACATAATGGCGTTGGTAATGGACAACTGCGAGGGCATGTTCATGTCACACAAAACGTCGCCGTCTTCTTCCTCGTCTGTTCCGGCTCCCTTTCTGACCAAAACGTACCAGCTCGTCGACGACCCGACGACCGACCACATAGTCTCATGGGGCAAAGACGCCGCCACCTTCGTCGTCTGGCGGCCGCCGGAGTTCGCCCGCGACCTCCTCCCCAACTACTTCAAGCACAACAACTTCTCCTCATTTGTCCGCCAGCTCAACACCTATGTACGCTGCTTTAACGTTTTCAAAATTAATCTGTATTATTTATTTAAAAATGTTAACGCTGATTGAAAATGTTATTTCTGGCCTTTTTAGGGTTTCAGAAAGATTGCTCCCGACAGGTGGGAGTTTGCCAACGACTTCTTCAAGAGAGGAGAACAACACTTGTTGTGCGAGATCCACCGGAGGAGGACGGCGCTGCCACATGCGGCCGGAAACCACCACCACCCGACTAGCGGCACCGGCGATCCGAGTTTCTTCTATCCGGGCCCGCGTCTTGGGTCCTCCTCCCAGGACTCAGACGAGCCGCCATTCACACTGCAACACGACAACAACAACAAGAACAGCAATATGATCAAATGTGACTCGCTGTCTTACGGTTCTCCGGCGCCGGTTCCGGCCGCCGGCGGGGGGCGAAACCCGGTGGCGGCGCTGTGGGAGGACAACGTGAGGCTGAGGAGGAGCAACAATATGCTGATGACGGAGCTGGCCCACATGAGGAAGCTTTACAATGACATCATATACTTCGTCCAGAACCACGTCAAGCCCGTCTCCCCCAGTAACGCGTTGATGACTCAGTTCCCGGCGAGTCAACTCGGAACCCATCACCGCAGTCGCACCTCCGCCGGCCTGGACCTCAGCTCACCTACGAAAACGTCGCAGAGCAGCGTGACCATTTTGGAAGAGCCGTCGCCGGCGCCGGAGAGTGATGCCGAGCACCGCCGGACAAAGCTGTTCGGAGTCCCGATTCAGTCAAAGAAAAGAGCCCGTCCTGATGATGATGATGATCATTTAACATTGCATCTCAAGCCGCCTTCTGTTAATTAATTAATTAGTTATGATGATTAATTAATATATTCAGATTTAAGGAATATATTAATTCATTCATTCACTCTTTTTTTTATTTCTTTTTTTTATTTTTAGTTTAGCTATGCTTAGCTAAGAAAGAATGAAGAAAAAAATCTTTCGTATATGCTTTTGCCTTTAGGAATCTTTACGGATCATTAGAATTAATAATATTCCACACATCTTTTATCACATCAGCTAATTAATCAAAACCGACCAAATTAAAGTATGAATATCCTTTTTTTTCAAAAAAAAAAAAAAGAAAAAAGAAAAGTATGCCTATCTTTTTTTTGTTGCCATGGACAAATGTGCATGTAGTGTTTACTGTCGTAAGCACTTGCGAGTCGGTAACTTAATTGTAATTTTAGAAGTTTTAAGGGCCTGTTTGGAAATAGCGTTAGAGATTAACATTAGCGTTTTTAGATAAAATTTTAACGGTACAGATTACTTTGAAAACGCTAACGTTAAACGCTACCCGTATATAGTATTTTCTAAACGCTAACGCTAATCTCTAACGCTATTCCAAACAGGTCCTAAGTATTTGAAATATTTTATAGTACGGAATGAAAAATGTAAAAAGAAAATAAGGGATATATATCAACATGCTTTTTGACTTGTGGCTTAAAAAGTGATTAATACTCCAAGTAATTTTACCGAACACTAAAACGAGCAATAAGACACTTGGGTTGAACCATATTAAAAGATTTAATCCAATCAAATATTTAATTCAACTCAAGAGCTTATATACCAATTTATTTTCTCGGTGAGTTCTGATGTGGGATACTCTTTAACAATATAATTAAATTGTTTAATTTGCAAACACTCCCAATCAACATGGCTACGTACACAACTTGGCAAACTCATTCATGTTTATTTGGATGTGTTTAATGTTTATGTTCTACGGAGTATCTCGTCCGTTTTACCTCTTCTCAGTGACCTTTTGGCCGAGTTTGAGAGAATCCTCGGGGATGAGGTTGATCCATGTACGTGTTTGTGGAGACTTCAAAAGCACTTTTACTGGGCAAAAATGTACTATTTTATTTTATATTTTTACAATAGTGCTTTAATTTTGTTAGTAGAGTGTAGCTTTACAGATTCCTGTTCAGAGAGTGCATAAGCGCATGGATAAGCTCACACTAACCCGTCAATTTGGGATCCAAAAGTTTTAGAATCACTAATAAAGTGGTCACAAAATTACAATTTTATTATCTATGAATTTCATTCAAGAATAAAATAATCTTAAATAATAAAAAAGTAAAAAAAATTGTATTTACAGACAATAAGTTTGTGAATTAAGTGACCATTTCATTTGTATATAACTCTAACTAACATTAGACAAAAAAACCCTAACTAACATTTCTGATCTAGCTCTACAATTTATATATTGTAACTTTTGGACATGAACATTGTATTTTTATTTTCTTTAATCAACTTTTAATTAAAATCAATTTATAAGAAATAAGATTTTGCATAAAAATAGATTCTCACCCTTAATTACCGGCCATATTATTGAGCAATGCTAGATTCACAGACAGGACGCTCACAAACTTCACAAACTTACCTATTTATGGTTTAAATTTTAATTTTAAAATTATTTTGAACAATTTAATTTTTTTTATTAAAATTCACAAACAGTAAGTTTGTGAAGTTTGTTACTATTGTGCTTGTGAACTAAATGTATCTAAAAAGCTTCCCCATATTATTTGATTAGGTTGTCCAAGCTAATTAAGGTTACACGAATTCCCAAAACTTTTTTCTGCGGATTTATGGTGCCAAACAAACAGAGCCTTGCATATCCTAACCAAAGTGTATCTAAAAAGCTTCTTTTCCAGCTCAACGTTCCATTTGTTCTGCTTAATTCCACTTTTCACTTTTAATTTCTTTTTCATGCTCCACAAAAAATGTCATATTCGCAGTCTCGTACTACAGTTTGTAGTAAAATATTAAACTCAATGAATTTTCACAGAAAATCAGGCTATTTTACTCGAAGGGTATGGTAACTTTTACCTCTTTAAATTCACGTTCAAATCTGACTTTGTAAATCCATCTTAGTCTCCCAATTTTCCATTTTCACTTTGTTGTTTCGCTCTACTAGCATATTTTTGGCGTGGATTTCTCATTCGACTCAGAGTACGTAAGAATATATTCTTTCTTAATACTAACTCCGTCCCAAAAAGATTTACACGTTTTGACTAAAGTTGAAATTAAGGGAAGGATAGTTTTGTGTTGACTTTCCAAAAATACCCTTGATGTGATGAGTAAAAGTAGAATATGATGGGTAGATTATTAAAAAAAAAGTATGATGTGATAGATAGGGTCTGAAAAAGTAAGGGTAAAAGTGGTTTTTTAATAGAAATGGGTAGGAGATTGTGTGACGCAAATTTTTTGAAAGGTGTAAATCTTTTTGGGACGGAGGGAGTATATTTTAACTCCGTTTTGGTCTTAAAAAAAACTCTTGTATATATTTTGAACTAGTATTCTAAGGGAAAATGACAAAAGTGGGTAAAACATTGAAAACATACTAAAATAGGACTTCCATGTTTTTATTCTCGAAATAGAAGTTAAAATGTATTTACATGACTAAATATGGTCATGTACATTAGGAAAAAAGGGAAAAAGATTAATACAAAGTATATGAGTAAAATATAGGGAAAAAACCAAATTTCAGTCAAGCTTAGTGTTAAAATACATGTGGCTCTTTTAAATTTTAGGGAAATAAGTTTTTTTGTAAAATATACTCCCTCCGTTCTCAAAAACACTTCCTCTTTCATTTTTTCCACTTCCAACAAAACACTTCCCTTTTCTATTAAAAAACCACTTTTACCCTTATTTTTTCATACCCTACCTATCACATCATACTTTTTCTCTAATAATCAATCTATCACATCTTACTTTTATCCATCATATCAGGGGCAAAATTGGAAATCAACTATAATTTAACAATTCCTTATTTTTCCCCCCAAATCAAATGGGAAGGGTTTTTCCAAACGGAGGGAGTATTAAATTTGACTATAATTTTTTTTTCTGGAAAATAAATTTATTTTATTTTTTACTAATTGATTCTTTTTTACCAAGGTTTTTTTCTCTTTGTTTGAAGTCATAATATTTTTGTGCTCTATTTTTTTTAAAATTATTTGAGTCTATTTGTAATCAATTATTGATATTAGAATAATCTATTGACTTTAAAAATCAAAACAAATTTTGATATGTAGTAATAAAATGTATCCAAATCTATACAACTCCATTTAGAATTAAAATAGTACATTAACATTACATAATCTATGGATTACTAAAATTAAAATTGAATACTCCCACTTAATTAACTATAAAAGACTATGTTAGAAACATACGGAGTACTAAATTAGAAAGGACTAATAATTGTTTATTGAGGTCTGATGATCGATTTCATATCATTGTTAGTGTCTTTTGTTATGAGAAATTTACTTAATTTATATTAAAATATTATACTACTGTTTTTTATTTCATTTAGTTATTTTTCATTAAGTTTAAAAGTGTATAATGCTTGTATAATATCAAATATGCTTGTTTAAGCTTATCAAATATATAAATATCAAGTTTTAAAAGTTACAATAAATTATTTTCTTAAAATGGTCTATAAATATTTAAATCATGCCGTGTATTTTTTTCCTTTGCCATATCATTAAAAAATGCTATATAAAAGTAATACATACATGCCAAACTCTTAGAAGCATGAGTCTCAAATATTAGTATAAAAGATTTATCTATGTACTAAAATGTATATTTATATGATGAAAAAATTTTATGTAAATAAAAAATTTATATCTCATTTTAAAATTGGTATACTAGTCAAGAATTTCATAGTCAAGACATTAACCCCCATGTCATCTTATGACATGGACGACCCCCGTTTGGAGTCCCTACAGTACTCCATTCGAAAAATTTATTGTTTTTACCACTTCTAACCCTCTCGATAAACCCCCAAAACTCGGCTTGACTCGAACCCTCCCCCATTAACGTTAATTGAAAATTCCATTCCCAGACAAAGCATTAGTTTCTTTTTCAGTGAGGAAAACTTCACGCATATATATTAATACTCCCAAATATTTAAAATTTCACAAGAATACTTAATTGTTAACACCACATACACACAATTTAAATATATATTACTCCGTATTATAGGAATACTACCTAGCTAGAATATTATGTATGGAAAATTTACCCAAATAGTACTAAAAAATACTCGTAGTGACTTTTTTGAAGTAGTATCAAATGTTTTTATTTCCCAATTTAGTATCATATCACTAGTCATTATTCAAGTAAATATCCACCGTTATTGGATATATATCATTCAAACTAAATGTCTACCATCAATAGACATTGTCCCCACCACTAGACATTATTCAAGTACTATTTAGAGAATAAAAACGTTTAAGTACTACATTAGGGAATGACAAATATTTTAGTACGGAGTAATATTTAGTGCAAATTTCACATTATATATTGATAGTATAAGATAAATCAGGTGGTGAATAATGGTGTTTGAAAGTTGCTGGATCGGCCAAAATTGGCTGGTTGGACCAATAAAAATGCCCTTAATAGTATTTGGAAAAAACAACTGGTGGAAGAAGTGGTTGGTTTCAAACACACAACCAAACTATGGAAGGTCCATAGGATAGGAGTAGTGTTTCCCAATGCCTATTCCATTTTATTTCATGTAGAGTATTTGCCATTTTCCAACTTTTTCCTAAATTTTGGGTGTATCATGTTAGTAATTTTATAATGTGGTCATACATTAATACATTATTATTACTGTTCATACGGTCAAATTTTTTCAATTCTTTTCGAAAGGTCAAATTTTATATTTATCCTGCTTGCTTGTTTTCGCTACTAATTTCATAACATGATATAATTATATGGGGAAATGGATGGGATGTCCACTCCCCAGAATTCATAAGAAAATTTACCCAGATTCGAGCTCCAGCGGAGGCACTCTTTGTGCTTCATTAGATTGTAAATAATA